TGTTAAAATTATCTGAAAAACTGGAATATGACAACATTGGGGGAGGGGAATTGTCACACCCCCAACTCCCCCCCCCCCACCAGTAAACCGCCCTGATTGAAGGGTAAGTAAATATAACAACATCTGAACCAGTCATATGTTATTATTTCTGAATAGACCCATTGCACATGACATCACCGCGCCGGTAACAATGCATCTGGAGGACAAATTAGCAATCTATGCATAATATAACTTTTGTAAACAAAGCAAATTTTGTAAAACTTTATAATAATTTTGTATTAAAATGGTTAATGTTTGCGCTGTATGTGGTTGTTGTACCCGAACAGATATTGTTAGGGAGCATCTGGAGGACACTCTAAGGATTTGTGACGTCAGTGCAATGGGTCTATACATGTCATAAAATAATGCTACTAAATAATACAGCTTACTTCATGTCACTAAATGAATTTTGATTCATTTCATCATCAGTTTCACTATCTTCAGATTCAATGTGTGGTGTCCAGTCACCATCATCATCACTTGATTCATTGCCACAACTGGACCAGACATAATAGTCTGATGATGGTTCATGTTCACTTTCTTTCCCAGTGTTGGCTGGTTCACTTTCACAACAGGACTCATCTTCATCATCACTGCAGACATCACTATCACTATCATACTCAATAGGAGGTACTTGCTATACAAAATAAAACAAAGTCACTAGCTTTTTAAATACACTGTTCTTGGCATTCTGACACTACATAAGAGAAAAGAGCCTATGACATCTACCAATATACAGGTACATGGCTGCATGAGTACATAACAGTATTTCCCCAGATTATGAGGTTATTCCCTTATGAGGTTCTTCTTCAAATAACGACTGATTGTGAATGATGAGACAGTATATTTACTATTTGTAGTTCTTTCACACTCTCCTTTAGTTCACTTACTCTCCGCTTAAGATGGTTGTTGGATCGCTGACTATTCTGCAACTTAGATTTATAATGGTTACAACAGCTTGTCTCTTTGCTTTGTGGGGCTGTCTCATTAATCATATTAGAACTTGCTTTGGTTGTTTGTTCAATGTAGGTCACTGATTTGGATACTAAAGCTTGATCATTTATGTAGTCAAGGGTATCACAAGAGGTTGTTGAAGGTTCTATGGCTGTTGACATGCTGGCAGAATCAGAATGGTGGTGGGAATCTCTTACAGGCAAAGCTGCATCACCAAGGGTTTGTTTTAACACGTTTAGTGTCTGGCATATCATTAATTTCAGCCATTACTCCGCGTCTCACCTATATAATATTTAATAATGAAAATTTTAATCAATATTGTGGCATTTTATATGCTTCGTATATACCGAGTTACATTTCTCATATAGTAGGAGTTTGGCTTCGACTACAATTATTACAAAATACTGTGCTACAAATATATCCCCATAGAGTATTGTCTATTTTAATACAGTAATAGTCCATTTTGTAGTACACAACAGAACTATTAAAATTGTATTATAAAGTCGTACACGTACGTACCTGCCGTTTTCCTCGTTGAGAAAGTATATTTGGAGTGGCAATGTCAGTTGTATCCCTGGTCGGAATAGATCCTTTGATTAACACTCTATTCAGCTTGACAGTGGACATTTCTTCAAGCTGTGGTGCCAAGCATCTTGTGTAGCATGAGTCTTCGAAATGTGTGGAACACAATGAAGCATACTTGCTTGGCTTGCGAAAATCATGTCGATGTCTCTGGACAAATTTCACCCATTTCTCTCATAAACTTGCATCAGAAGGAAACTGCTGCATAGGGTCGGAAATTAATTGTATTACTTCACTGAGCGGACAAAACACTTGCTCAAGTGAATTAGCTGAATCCTTAATGGTTACTTTACTACGTAGTTACTAAAACATGGAACAACCCTACAACGACCCTATGCATCTTCTTGCAGTCAAAAAGCAACAGGAACTTCGGATTTAAGTATTTTCACTATCTTTATAATATAACTCTTATAAAAAAGACAAAAACCGGAGCTCGAAAACACACGTCTGATGCCAAAGGCAGACAAGGTGTGTTATCATGCAACTTATTGTTATATGCAATAATCTTTCGAGTTTCGTATAAATTTATATCAGTACCTCGATATATACCATGTTTATACGTGTCCCAGGGCAAGCGAAAATGCAGATAGAGTAATAGGATATTCACTTGTACTAAATCTCCAACTGCACTAAATTCCCTGAGTGTCTAGTTACAGTCGTTAAAAATACAGAAATAGACCAATAGACACACATTGTGTTGAAATCATGTATTTATAGGTATAGCTACATTTATAATATTGTCAACAAATATTAACAATTCTAGGTTTGATTTCTTCTTTTCATCACTATTTTCACTTGAATGTGAGTCACCGTACGATTCTTCATCACAGCTCGCTTTGCTCCCATGCGAATGTTCACTTTCTGAAATTTCTGACTCTCCTTTGTACAAAGACATCATTGAAATAGTAGTGAAATACAATCAAAACATTCGGTGTGTTGCGTGAATGACGTCACATCCTCTTCAAAATGCCTTCTCGCTTAATTGGGCGCGTAATTGGCAAATAAGAATTGTAAAAAAGTCTGAAAGATGAACGAATTTTGCCTTGAAATTTGGTAAGAATATCAAGCATACGTTGTATTTCTGGATTATGAAAAAAAAATTGATGATAGTGCCATTTCATTATTTCATTTTAATAACCCATCGAGTCGCATTGCACCCTGATGCACCCTACTTTAGTATTTTACTCTGTCTAACACCAGACGATTTCACTCGTCAAGGGGAGAGCGCTGGCACTTAATGGGTTAACTGGCCTATCTGCCCATGTGTCTAGTTAACCCATTGAGTCGCATTGCACCCTACTTTAGTATTTTACTCCGTCTAATGCCAGACGATTTTACTCGTCAAGGGGAGAGCGCTGGCGCTTAATGGGTTAAAGAACTTTTAAAATTATATGTAAATCTCTTTTACTGATTTAATAATTTGCGTAACTTTATTATTTCTTGAGATATTTGAACAGAAAAAATCACAAATCAGCGAGCTTTTCACCATTTTGGATTTTGGCGGATATGCATGTGACATCATAAGCAGGGTCACACGAGAATTTTATCCATAGAGCAACTGGTTATTATGAACCCAAAATCATATACTTCAGTAACTATTTGAAATAAAAAACTGTCTGATGACTTTTCAAACAAGACTTAATGTTTTCAAACAAGACTTAAACTTTTCAAACAAGACTTAATTGGTCATTTAGATGTAGTTTTATATGGTTAACCCTGCGCTTATGACGTTACTAAAATCACCGATAATGAGATAAAAATTAATCCAAGATGGCGGACAGCAAATTACTTTAAGTCAAAATATTTCAACAAATAATAAAGTTACACAAAATTGGTAAAGGAGATTAACATATAATTTTAAAAGTTCTTTAAAATGAAATAATAAAAAAAATATTGCCATATCCCTTTAAAGAATTGTATTGTCTCTTACTGATAACATCACCTCATTCTGCAGATGTGCTTCATTTGTGTTGACAGAGTACTTCTGCCCAATCAACTGAAGCAGTTTGTCAGCTAATGCCTCTGTTGGTGCACGTAACAGGACTTCATATCCTGCAATTCCAAGAAACTGTGACAAGAGTAAAAACAAAGCACAAGTTAGATGTTAATTTAACTCATAAAATCTGTTATGCAATTCTTATGAATGCAATTCGACTGGGTTTTGTATTCATTTTAAATCAAACAAGAGCTAGCAATAGTAATGTTCGATATGAGAAATTTCCAATATTATCAGTATATTTAACAAAGTAAAGGTTTTACCCAGACTGCAAAGTTGGGCACAGCCGCACCCAATATTTCTGCGCACTTTAGATGCGCAATATATATATTGTTCAATACATTACATGCCTTGCACAATGTGTTTCATAGCTGAAAGTCGGTTCACTAGAAAAACCTATTCACCTGTCCCTAAATTATTTTATCATCCATGCATTGTCTTAAAAACCAGAAACTACAATGTGTTACATGCAATTAGAAGTTAAATATGATGAGCAAGTTTCCTTGATTCACTGCTGTAGTCATTCTGTCAATGTATATATCAAAGTTCTATTGCAAGATTTCTCTTGGTAAGTTGGTCACTGACTCACTGGTCAGCTTGCATTATATGTGGGCATCTGGGCTTCTCAGTTCGGAGGGTGACTTCCCACTAGTCCGAAGGTTCACTAGTCTGAAGGTTCACTAGTCTGAAGGTTCACTACTCTGAAGGTTCACTACTCCGAAGGTTCATTAGTCCAAAACATACGCTGATTTTGAATTGCAATTACATGTTAGACTGTTACTGCTTCGCAGTAAGCATTTTTCGTACCTGCATACACACACGGAAAAATTTAAATCCATGTGAAAGTCTTTTGTCCACTTAAGAAATAATTAAATGAATAAAAGGATAGCATTTAGTTTTGTGTTTGATTTTAAATGTACTTTTCAAGTAATTATAGTACGTATACTGGTATAAAATTTAGAAAGATTTAAACTTTTCCAAGTGTATATATGTATGTGAAAAAATGTGCAACTTGAAAGCTGCCGTAGTCATTGGACATTGATCAAGTTGCACATTTTTTCACGTACATATATATATATATATACTCGGAAAAGTTTATAAATCTTTCTAAATTTTATACCGGTATAAGTATAATAAAGTACTTAAAAAACACGTTTAAAATCAAACACAAAACTAAATGCTATCCTTTTATTCATTTAATTATTTCTTAAGTGGACAAAAGACTTTCAAGTGGATTTAAATTTTTCCATGCGTGTATATGCAAGTACGAAAAATACTTAACTGGGTAGCAGCCAAGTTAAACATGTAATTGCAATTCAAAACCAGCATATGTTTTGGGCTAGTGAACCTTCGGACTGGTGAACCTTTGGACTAGTGAACCGTAACCGTTTGGAGCCTATCTACAACTCACATCATGTCTTCTTATTGCTCACAGAGGGTAAAGATTTCCTATCTCCGTCATTGTTTTAGGACAAATTATCGGGTCAGGAATGCTCCAGTCGACAATTGCACGCTCAACGAGAACATCATTTCCTTGACCGCCACTTTTCTTATGCGCTGTTACAACACCATAGAATCCCTCCACTATGGCTTCGCAGCCACCAGCAGCTAGGGCTACATCCAGTGAAATACACATTTCCTTGCCCAGAGACTCGAAAATGATGTTGTTGTTGTAAAAAGAAGCAATCAGGTTATCTTCCTGTAGTTTTGCTTTCACTACAACTCCCAATGCAAATTCAAGACTAAAAACTTGATCTAAACTTTCGCTATCAAGAGCTATGATGGAAACAAGGTGGCTCTCTTTGAACTCTGGAACTGAGTTGCCTTTTAGATCAACAAATAGATCTACACGATTTCCCAAACCAAACCAAACTATGTTCTCCAGTGTGTCTTTCAGTCTTTTGAAAACAATAACACTATTTTGCGGCAAGAGCATCAACAAACTATCACTGGAGCGGACATGAGGAAGATTGCAAACAACCTTGAAAAAAGAATTGAATTCCTCCACTCCATCTATTTCCCATTCGATCTTGTGCTCTCTGCTCATGATCAGCTTCCTGTTCTTGACTGTAAAATTGCAGAGATGAGTGAAGGCTTTTTCTAAATCAAACATATTGTAGAATTCTTTTGTGATGTTAGGAACAGACAGAGACTGGAACAAAAATCGACCAACCGAAGTAAAGTGGAACAGTCTAAAATATTAATGTATTTGCATGTTTACCACAACTTCAATCAATTAACATTTTACAAAAATAAATATTTTTATGCACGATTGTCTGATTGAAAATTGTTGTAATTAGTTCGCTATGTAATGTTCAATTACCTGAAAGGTTCCTGGTTCCTGCTCATCTTCATTATTGCCAAGTCTACCAGCATTGATCTCTTGCCAATGCTTAGCAAGCTTTGGAAGAATGGATTTGGATGGTTGAGACCCATTCTTTACATTCTTCAATTCATTTTCCGATTCTTCAATTCATTTTCCGAGTACCATGCAATAATTTTCCACGGTGGCAGATTTACCACCTGGGCTCGGATCATCAGTGAAACTACAGGCTGCAAAATATCCAGCATTCCGCAAAAGTCTACAGCAAGGTCTTCTCCACGAACCTTAAAGTCATACAACTTTAAGTTAGTTGAATTTCATGGTAACAGGGAAACTTTTTTTTATATAACAGTCATATACAGTATCATTTTTGTTCATACCTGATACCTTGTTTCATCTTCATCATCGTCACAATCTTCTCTACATCTTCTGTACGTTTGTATTAGCCCTTTGTAGCTTTCGTAGATTTTCTTCCACTGGTCAAACGACAAGCTAAAGAATCTAGTTGTTGCAAAAGTTACAGTCTCCAACACTTTTAGGTTCAATGCATCTGTCATACCTTTATACTTTTCATGTCCATGACCACTGCCAAACATTGTGTGGAATCTACAATTATATTTGATGAATGAAAAATTTTCATAAATACAATTTGAAAGCTATTCAGTATTGGCTTTATTGTGTTTTTCAAGTATTTACCTATTTGCTCGTTTGATTAACCGTTTAATCAAAGACGAAACAGGATTCCCAACTTCCCAAAGATCAGCCATGGCCAAGTCCATCCAATGTGAAATATCTCAGGGGGTAAAGAAAAATTCGTCTGATGTTTCACTGTTTCCAAGTTCTTCAATTGGGGCTTCTTGAAAGGTAGAGCATTGATATTGGCCATCTGCATGAACAGCTATATGGGGGGAAATATACATGTGTTCAGGGGCGTAACTACTGGGGGATATGACACCCCCCTCCTATGTGCAAAAATGGAAACATTTTCGGGCAAATTAACAAAATTCGTAAAAAGTGAGGGTCAAAAAATTTGTTGTAATATTTGGAAAAAACTTTAGTGATTTTTAATAGAAAAAACGTGAAGAAATTTGGAAAATTCTGTGTATTGTCATTGCTTCCGTCCTAAAACATAATGGTGTAGCAAAATTTTTTTGTAGATAGCGGAAAGTGCATGTCGTCAGGCAATAATTTTTGTTTGGGCAAAAACTTATCACCCTCTCCCAGTTACCCTCTTACATGTATTTTGTGATGGTCATAATAAATGAAACAAATTACACATTTGAATGTACATGTAATGATGTACATGAAAAGTACAAACAACACCTCCTATAAAATGCATCTCGTCCGCTTGAAAATCTAACTTTTCTTTTAAGACAGTAGAAATTTAGCAAGATCTTGACCATAGCCAACCCTGAACTTCTTTTGTTTCCTTGTCAACTGTGTATACAGTTGGAGCATTCAAGGCATTGCAATACGTTTTCCTTCCACATGGATGAGAAGGACAGCATGATTTGTTTCTCTATGAGGGGTAGACTTGTCAACTGCAAGGGATATGTGAGGTGGAAGACCAGTACATTCCAAAGGCTTTCTTAGGTACTTCTTGGTTTGGATTAGGTCATAATGGTATGCTGCTTTAATTATTTCGGGGAACTGGTTCCTGTTATGACAAAAAGGCTTAAATTAGTCTAAACCTAGGATATGTTCGAAGTGACCAAAATATGCCCCTTTCAGACTTACCAACCATGCCCAATATTTCCAACATTGACACCAGCATATGCAAGAAATTAGGGTGCACCGGATTTCAAATCCGGCCAGAATTCCAGCCAGATTTAACAAATTTTCCTGCATCCGGCTCGATTTGGACAAAATACGGCCGGATTTAAATTTCTGTTTTCACCTCAAAAATTCACCAAGAATGGGGTAAACCATCAATTTGGCAACTTTAAAGTTTAAAAAACACTTATATTATTATAAAATATTAAGTTATTAACAAAAAGATATTTAAAAAAGGTTTAAACACAATCAAAAATCTAAACTGACACTAACTAAAAATAGTAAAAAACATAAACCGGCATTTTGAATACTGAATTATCACAATTTATCCTCAATTGTCCCCATTACCGGTTTATTTCAAATCCGGCCGGAATTTTTGTCCAAATCTGGTAAATCCAGTTCCGACCGGATTTGAAAATTCCAAATCCGCTGCACCCCTACAAGAAATCCGACCTGCCTTTCATATGCCATCCCTGCAGCCTTCGATTTGCATGTGTGGATTGCAGCACTTACAAGAGTGGTGTTGATTTCCCTTGTCTTCATCTGCATCTTCTTCTCTTTAAGTGTGAACTGCTTGGCTTTGTAATGTTCTTGTCCACCGCTTCAAGGAGAACTGCACACAAGATGTTCAATCAGTGCATTTCTGAAGGAGTACCAGGTTTGGTTAGAACCAGTCATGATAGCCTCTGCTTTCTCCTTTGCGTATACAAGTCCTGCTCCCCAATAACTGTTTAGTTGCATCCTATATATTGTATTTAAATAAACTCTAGACAACAGCAAGTTGATTTACAGTAACTCTAGTTAAAACAACTATTGTAATCTTGACTTACTACACTTACACTTTCTTTCTTGGTTGAGATATTATTGCAAATAAGAAAATTACTACAGAGATGTAAGAAAAGGCTAGTGGAAAAATATAACGTACAAAGTTTATACATATTTTACATGACCATGTGCACTGTGCACCCGCACCTCGCTACAATTATCCGCACTTGCACTTTTACTTCATGTTATTTTGCGCACCTGCAAGTCATTTTACGCACCCGCACCTATTTTACTCAAGCTTTCCGCACCCGAGATCTCAGCAGTCTGGGGTTTTACTAATACTAACCCTATTCCAAATACTAACCCTATTCCAAATACTAACCCTAATCCTAACCCTACTCCAAGTTTGGTTCTAAACCAGTCTAACCCTACTCCAAGTTTGGTTCTAAACCAGTCTTGAAGAAAATGTCATTCTGAGGTCAGTGAACTAACCTTCCCTAAATTCAAAGCTGTTTTGAAGGAATTTCAGTCATTTCAATGAGATTTTTAATAGAAATATTGATTATTTTGCTATATCGTACCGAAACATTCCGGTATATCGGAAATTTCGGTATATCGGAAATTTTGGCATATTGGTATTACTGAAAAAGTCATACTGACATTGGATTTCATTTTTAAAGTTTGTTCATTCACTGCAACCAGGTATATCAATCATGTTTCACTCGCTACTCTGGTTTAAATAATTGATTACAAAGCCCAGTCGAATTGTAATCAAGACCCAACGTTTCGACATTCCAGTCTAGTGTCTTGATCAGGGATGATCTAAAATTGCAATTGTGGCTTCTTAAATAGATAGCTTAAGATCTACTACGTTGCAATAAGCTAGGACGTCAGGGCTAAGCAGAGGACTGGGACTAGGACGTCGTCCTAAATAAATAAACTTCCACTTAAGATTCACAACATAGACATTTATAAAACTATAAATATTCACATCCTTTTGACAACGAATTTAAAAGAGACCTGTGAACCATTACCGTTTGTTATGCTCTTGTATTTATGACGGTAAAACTCTTGTTGTGAGGTTGTCGACATTTTGTGGATGACGAGCAAATTGAGAGAGACACATGCACACTTCAAAAACTATTACCAATTTACTTCCATTTGCCACCCTAAATATTTGACGTCGTAGACACTTGAGCTATTGACTTATTTGGACAACGTCCTAGTCCCAGTCCTCTGCTTAGCCCTGACGTCCTAGCTGGCGTCGTAGATCTTAAGCTATCTAATACCCAAGGGATGACGTCACCTGCCAATGAGATGCATATATTCCTCTGGCAAATAGGCACCGTCATCCCTATTCAAAGCATGATTATTCATATTTATATGCCATGCTTCTGGGCAAAGTCTTTGACCATAGCGATTATTTGTGGTAATTACTTTAGAGTTTTCCCACACAATTTCATGTTTGGTGTAACATACATGTTCAGCTAAAGCTGGTTTTCCCTTGTCTAAAGTTGAAACAGCCTTTTGATGTTCTTTTAGCCGTGTACCAAACTGGCGTTTAGAATTACCCAAATACTCTTTCTCGCAGTCAATGCATGGTATAGAATATACAGCATGCACGCCGGGCTGGAAGAATGCGAATCGCGCCATTTCAAAATTATTGCACCTGCATTTTATCCAGCGGAATTTCGCAAAAATAGTAATTATTTTTTCAAGATGGTGGCCGAACTCCTAGTGAACATGCATGAAATTACAAATTCTTATGTTAAAAATGCTCGAAATCGTTCACTTGCAAGAGATATCTCTGGTGACCTTATACAGCTTTCAAGAGCTGTTATAAAGAAACATACATTTCCAAATGATAAAGCTTTTAAATACCATTTGACGCAGCCTTCGCGAATGTTATCATGAGCAATTGTACTTTGGCACAAAGTAATACTCCGGAAAATGAGAAAAAAGCCTACTTGTTCACGACCATGGACAGTACGATTCACATGGAACTTTCCTACAGAAATATTTAATTGCCTTAAGGTCATTGCTGAGACAGGGGAATGCGGTGGTGTTGTAGCAAAGAATACTCGGAATGTGGAAGAAATACATGTGAAACAACATGACAAATTAATATATCTGTTCTCCACATTAGCCAACAAATACAAGATCTCGCTTAGTGAAGAAGAAATTTTGTTTAAGCGGGAAAAGGATAGCTCATACAGTAAAATTGTAGTTAATGAAAGTCATCCTGCAAAATTCCAATACTTGAAGAGCACTGAAATCTTGACATTCAGCGCAAGGTATGGGCATTTCAACAGATTTGGAGTGCCACAATACACTCTGGAATGATTATATACTAAACTACTTGGACTGTAAAGTAGTTCTGTGTTTTACATAAAGTTTTGTTGATCATTCTCAAAACACCAACAATAATTTTGATGTGCATCTAATGCATCTAATGTGAAAATTATAAATGATTTGAATGTATCAATGTATTATATTATTATTTTCAAGTACTCAAATGCAAACATGCCCATGCAACCCTGCAGAATAAACGAGCAGAATTGTTTCATTAGGTCTAAAGCCACTCAGTCTCGTGCTGTGATGTATTTATTAACAGTACATAATTATGGATTAATATATTTTTTATTAAATGAACTGTTAATAATTTTAGATTTTAGAATTATAACACATTTTCCATTTTGATATACAAATATGAAAACAAGAGTTAAAGTTTGAAAATGAGAAATGAAAACAAGATGCCTTCATTCAGATTCGTGCAGGAATTTCTATAAGGAATTCCATATCTTATAGTAATTCTTGTAGGAATAGTCTGAAATTCTTATAGCACTCCCTATGGGTACCACCGAGGGAATTTTTAAGGGCGAATTTTTTATGCTATTGAATATTTTTTAAAGAGACTGATGTCTATAGCCAATGAAGAATATACAAGCAAAATTTAATGAAAAGATATTAATTAATGAGAAGAACAGTTAATTTAAGTGAATTAAATTACCTCTCATTGTAGTTCCATGGCTGCCAAGTGCAGTCTGAATCAGTCCCCAGTGATCTATTTACTGTATTTTTGTCATCATCATTAACATTTCCAAATGGTGAGAAGTAGAACGCTGAGTTTGGGAGCTCACCGCTGAAAAATGAAGCCCATTTCATATCTGATGGTACCAAGTCAAATGTAATTTCACTTGGAAATTCTGACCACCATCACCAGGCAAATAGTAAACTTGGTTTTCAATATTGCCAATTTCTGCCATTAACGTCTGACAATATCTGATCATTGAAATGTGTGACTCACTGCAGTTAGCACCTGCAAGGAGAAAACATTCACTTTCGCTTGCAATTTGATCACCAACATTAAAAAAAGAAATGAGCCAAGCAGTGGCCTCATCAACCTTGCTGAAAGGGGCACCGTCTGCCCCAATGGCTACTCTGAAGTGGTATGGCTAACTTCCAAAATGGATGAAGCCGTTGATCAATTTCTCTGCTCAGCTCTCCAAGCTGTTGATCAATTTTGATGTACATGCTAGCTAGTTCTTTCAAAAAATCTTCTAGTTCTCTGTACGCACCATCAACTTTCATATCATCCTCCAAATCATCACATAATTCCTCTTTAATATACTTTAGATTTCCAATGTCTATTAAGTTGACATATTTGATCAGCAATTTTGGCAAATTTGTTTCGGGCATAAATTGTAGACCAGCTCTTGCATTGTTCTTGCTACTGGAGTGTGTTGCAAGACTTGAGCATATGCTTTTATACTGTTCTTTGCTCAGCGGCTTGCTGGAATAAAGCACATTCAGACTTTGAATTCTATTTGCAGAGCTGTCTTCAAATGCTTTGTTGTGGTCTTTCACTACTTTAGGAACAACCCTTCATCAATTTTTGTGAATTTGTCATATAGTGAATCAATGCAGCTGGTGTAGCTACATTGACTAATGTTACCCACATGCCATCCAGAGTAGGTTGCATGTCATCATCACTTCCCCCATGAACACTTGAACAGAAACTCACTGTTTCCTTTGTTATTCTTTGACCAGACCGAGTAGCAATAGGCACTTCATATTGGTCTGAATTGGTATCCTTAATTTTTGTGTCTTTTTCTTTTGTGGACTTTTCTATTACTCATAGGACAGACTCCATCACCAAAATCTAATTTCAGGTTATTAACTTCATTTATGATACGATCAACCTATTAATACAAAAGCCACATTAACAAAAACAGAAATGTAATACATTATAGTGAACAAATCTATAATGATTGCTTATATATGAGTGGAGTTGTAATAATATTTTCATGAACTGAAATATTGAATGAAGTGACTATATTATTTTATTTATTTATTTGATTTTGCCCAATATTTATTTATTTACATGAAAATTCTAATATTAAGGAAGAAGAGGGCTAGGAGTCTATTTGAAACCATTTGGCTTTTTTACTTAGACCCCTAGAAATATATTTACAATTGTTTTTTAATAATTAAGTAAACCAGTTCAAAATCAAATTATTACAGTAGTCAATTTTGCGAATATATACGGTATATTATAATAATACAATTACAATTTGATATTCATAGTAATCAATAATCATAGAAATAAGCGTGTGGTGATTTGTTGTGCCCTATAGTTTGATAGAATTTATAAACTTCCGGTAGTTAATTAGATATGAAGAAAGTGTTTCTTTACCTCTCGTTTGAAGACGAAATGTGATTTTATTTGTTTGAAGTCTTTTGCAAGACAGTTCCAAATTTCGATTCCTTTGTTTGCTAGGGAATGTTTTGAGTAATTTGTTCTTTTGTAAGACTTGTGAAGGAGCGATGCATTTCTGGTATTGTGATGATTTATCTCGTTGTTGGATACAAAATAATTACAAAAATTTCTGGTAAATTTCGTACTTTGTAGTATCTGAACATAAATAAACTAGTTAAATACTCATTTATTTTGTAGATGTTGAGTATCTTAAGTTTCTTAAATATCGGATCAGTGTGCTCAAAATAAGAACTAAACGTTATCAATCTTACAAGTTTCTTTTGAATGGTGAAAAGTTTTTGAATACGTGTCTTATACGTATTCCCCCAAATAAGGTTACCATAGATAAGATATGGATAGACTAACGCATAATAAATTAGTTTTAGAGAATTAATATTTGTGAAGTATCGGATTTTGGAAATTATTGCAGTAGCTTTGATAATCTTTTTTGAAACTAGTTCTATATGATATTTCCATGTCAAACATTCATCTATCACAATCCCAAGGAATGTTATACTTTTGACCTGTTTAATATTGTCATTATTCATTGAAAGTTTGATATCATGACTTGTTCTTTTGTTTGGAGATTTGAATAAAACAAATTTTGTTTTTTTCGTATTAATCGATAACTTATCAACATTAAGCCAATCTGTGATTTTATTTATTTCTGTTTGTATTATTTCATTCAAAGTCTTAAGGCAAGTGTGACTATGAAGTATACTTGTATCATCTGCAAATAATACCATGGAAACAAGTTCGCTGCAATATTGAATGTCATTTATATACAGGAGAAATAATAAAGGTCCTAAAATAGATCCCTGAGGAACACCAATGACCAGCAGCTGGTCACAGTTTATCAAATACTAAATATCAATATACTGCCGCCCATTTAGTATTTGATATAAACCGTGACCGGCTGACAGTCATGAATGTTCCATTTAACAATGAGGGCACAGTCGAGTTGAATGGGAAATTATATATATATATATATATATCTTTCAAAAAAAGAAAACCATTTTTACAATTGCACAAATATAATAGAATTATTTATAGTAACAACAGATAATTTTGTTAACCCAACTAGGCATACTAGGGCAATTCATATAAGCAGGATTGACCAGGCAAACAAAATCTTATCTCTTAAACAAATGTTTAATACCTATAATTTGCAAAAATATCCAATACAGAAAGACAGTAGAAGATACATTACAATTGGGTACATATATGTCACATTTCTTAAAGGGCCTCATGTCTCTACACTTACTTTTCTTTTCAGCCTTTTCAGTTGACCATTCTTTTGTTTTAATAATTTTGACTTTGTGAGATATTCCTCTTGAAGCAGCTTTCGTCTCTGGGACAAAGTTCCAAGTGGAAATCTATCTCGCGAAATAGCTTTATTGCTCCTTGGCCTATACCTGCCTTTTCTCCCCATTACTGCATTGAAACAAACGATTTTCGCCGTACAAATTCCTAAGAAATGAGCAGAAAGATCCCGAGTCAGATACGTTCAGAATATCATTTTAATAACTTAACTAGGTATCCATGGTTTTAAAATTTTCCAGTAAATTTCTGAATAAAAGAAAATCCTTATCTAACACAATGTTCACTTTCAATTAGCACGAACCGAGAAACAAATCCGTGACAAGTAAAAGTACAATATTTTATGTTCTACATACCGTACACATCTTCAAAACGGCTTAAATGAAAGCTGAAGAAATGCGCTAAACAATAGCTCTCATGAATTTTCCATGTGACCACCGCTGACAAGGAAGTAGAAAAATATTCATAAATAGCTGTTAATATGGCTAAAAATAGAATTTCCGCCATATTGGATTGAAAGTCCGTCCGCCCATCAGAATGGCACAATTTCCGATCTTCCAGCCCGGCGTGATGAGTTTTCTGATTTGTTTTAACAGGATCCCTTGGCTCTCGCAATAATCATGAAGGCTCTTTCACTGTTGAATAACAGAAATACGTATTCTATTCTCAAGTCTGATCCTACAGGAAAGACTCAAAGAGGTTTAAACGCCAAGTTACTTCTTTTGAAGAAATCCAATATTATCAGCAAGGCTACATATGAAAAGTTATACAGCAGTGATGGACTATCTCCGCATTTCTATGGTTTACCGAAAATCCATAAACCGGGAATTCCATTGAGACCTATTGTGTCCTTTGTGAATTCTCCTACATATGGAGTTTCAAGTTTTTTTGCAAAAATTTTGTCACCTGTGGTGAGGAATACCGAAAACACTGTAAAAAATTCCTATCCTTTTGCAGAATTTGTAAGAGGTAAGACTCTTAAAGCAGATCAAGTGTTGGTATCATTTGATGTTGTTTCCTTGTTTACAAACATCCCAGTTGATCTTGCCATCAAGGTTGCGACAAAAAGACTAAGACAGGATGCCACTTTGTTACAAAGAACATCCTTGCCTGTAGAAGATATTGATTTTCTGTCTTTTTGTCTCAACACCACATACTTTGTGTTTGAGGGCTGTTATTATCAACAGGTTTTTGGAACAGCGATGGGGTCACCAGTATCGGCAGTAATTGCTAATTTAGTAATGGAAGATGTCGAACAAAGAGCTTTAGCCTCGATCTGTTCCAGTAACTCTATCATTTTGGAAACGTTTCATCGATGATGTCATCTCTGCAGTTTCTAGAAATGAAATCGATATTCTGCTGCAACATTTAAATTCCATTGAGCCGTCCATCCAATTCATGGTAGAACGTGAGATAAATGGACATTTAGGTTTTTTAGATTTGAATGTGCACAGAACTGTCGAAGGGAAGTTAGAGACTGATGTTTATCGCAAACCCACACACACAGACAAATACTTGTCATACGACTCTCATCACCCAGTAAGCCATAAAAGATCTGTAGCAAAAACATTGCTTCAAAGAGCTGAATCTTTGCCATCAAACAGTGATTCTCAAGCTAATGAACGTGAATATGTTCTAAATATTTTAGGGAAAACGATCACCCAAAACGTTTTCTTAATAATTGCCTGTGATCACTTGTTTGTAGGAACCAAAATAACTCCGAGGTTGATACCTCTGTTAAGGGTTATGCAATAGTTCCATATATTCAAGGTGTCACAGAACCAATCAAGAGAATCTTAACTCTTAAGTAATTGTAATATTAAGGTTGCCTTAAAACCCTATTTGACTTTAGGCCATATTTTCGCAAAGCCAAAAGATCCTGTTAAAACAAATCAGAAAACTCATACTGTATATTCTATACCATGCGGTAACTGTGAGAAAGAGCATTTGGGTCAGTCTAAATGCCAGTTTGGTACACAGCTAAAAGAACATCAAAAGGCTGTTTCAACTTTAGACAAAGGAAGATCAACTTTAGTCGAACATCTATGTTACACCAAACACAAAATTGTGTGGGAAAACTCTAAAGTAATTACCACAAACAATCGCTATGGTCAGAGACTTTGCCTAGAAGCATGGCATATAAATATGAGTAATCATGCTTTGAATAGGGATGACGGTGCCTATTTGCCAGAGGAATATATACATCTCATTGGCAGGTGACGTCATCCCTTGGGTATTTAAGAAGCCATGATTGCAATTTTAGATCACCCCCGATGAAGACACTAGACTGGAGTGTCGAAACATTGGGTCTTGATTAAAGTTGGATTTAATACCGGTATTTTCGGTATACCGAACATCCCTAGCTAGCAAGCGAAAACATTTCTTGATGTCTGATATATCAGCCTGATATATCAGCCTGCCATTGAAGTTGAAGTCTTATTCTTTTTTTTATATAAACATATTTATTTAGACACATTTTTCTCCAAGAGCTCATAGCTCATCGTGGGAGATTATGTGTAAATATTTACAATATTTTTTTGAAGTTTAATAAATTAAGAAAGAGATAAATAGATATAGAAAGAAATGAAAAGAAAAGCATCATCAATTAATCTTTAAGAGAATCGATTAGAATTAAGTATAAATAATTGAACATTACTAAGTAATATTACGTTTTCATCATAGCTAAGTAAGTCAGAACCATGCAGAAATATTTGAAGTTTCTGTTTGTCTGAAAACCTGAACAATGCATCATTGAACAACCTTGCAGTTGAGGCAGAGAGAAGATCGTGCTGAATGGCGTATTGAGTACAATAAAGAAAATAACGAGTAATGGTTTCTGTTGTTCCCCAACAATAGTCACAAAAAGGAGGTTTGCAATCAATTTTATATAGATAAAAGGTGAGCTGGCAGTGACCTAAGTGCAACCTTGTGTGAAGTATGGAACTCTGATGGTTAAGAAAAATATTAAACAATTTATTATAACCAGATCTACAGTATGTGTTACGCAGTCTATTCTTGAAACTAGAAAGTGGAGTAGCATTTCGTAGCTCAGTAACTAATCTATTCCAATCTGCTACCGTAGATGGAAAAATGCATAAATAGCAACAAAGCTTAGAAGGCATTTTAGTTTTGCAAGGACTCAGGATAAAGGCCAATGAAAATTGATATCGTGTTTCTCGTCCACAATTTTCAAAAATTTGGAGTGGGATTTTTTTCATTTTTCATTTTCCAGCATTGGCGGGACCACAATGTCGGGGTCAATGAGGATGAAATATTTCAGAAATTATTCAATTTATGCTCACCAACAAATTTTGTTTTTTAAAACCTCTTCAATGTTAAACTCATTTACTCAATACAGGTCCCAAGTCCCTGGCTTTGGGGCAATAGGCCATTTTTTTTCTTCAGTGGTGGGGCAGAGGAAGGAGCCCAGTGGGGCAAATGCCCCACCAGTCCATGGTATTAAAAAATGCCTTGCGAGAAACAGGATATCAATTTTCATTGGGCTAATGGTGGATTGGCGGGACCACAATGTCGGGGTCAGGGAGGATGAAATATTGCAGAAATTATTCAATTTATTTACATTTTTCAACATAAAAATTTGTTTCAAGTTGAATTTACTAAATATAAATCAAGTGTTAGAGCTGTTTGAAAAACAAATGTGATAAAACATAGAGACCTGACACACCAGATGAGTCTTGTGTCGCATTGTTTCTCCGAGACCCTACAAAATAAAAGAAAACAACCACTATTAAAAGCGATAGAGTATCAACAATAAAGCAACTTTATGTAACTTACCACTGGAAATAGATGGCTGACAATTTTGAATTCTGTTTGATGTTAATTAATGCTCTTCATAAAACGCGTCAAAGTTAGTAGTAAATATCAAACAGCTATATTATTTCAGACAAAAATACTGGGAGCCTGCATTAAACCAGGTGTGTTATTACGTTAAAATAACTTACTCTTCAAAGTAGTTGAATTGGTTCTGCATTTCCGTCGACCTGTTCGCACATCAGAGGACAATACATTTTACACAGTTTTTCACCAACACTTACTATTTTTCCGCACAGTGAAAAAGTGCTTTCACAAGGTGGGGAAAAAATTTGAACAAAAAATAAGAGCAATGACTGTATCAGCCAATCAGGATTTTCCTTTCCTCCCCCAAATAAGGAAGCAAACGTTCAAAAAGATAAATCAACCAACCAATAGGAAAGCACCTGTTGAATGAACACTAAAAATACAAATTTGAAACTTGTTTTCAAAAGTATGTGATCATGAATATTCATTCATATTCATAATCTGTTTTGTGTTTATTCAGTAAGACAGTGAAGAGAAAAAGACAATCAGTCTCAACATGTGTTGACGGCAAGAAAAGTTCAACGCACATGCACAACTGATGAACACGGAAGAAGAAAGGGAGATATTAGAAGATGGTGGCATAAGAGTTGAGGATGTCTACGGCCATAATGGCATTTCATCAGATGAGGAAAGTATACCAGGCGATGACATGGGGGGAGGTATTTTTTAACGCCGAGGCGGAACAAATTATTGATGAAAATGGTGACAAAGACTCCTTCCCGTTTCCAAGTGAGAAGTTTTTTTCTGCTGTATTGTTATGCACACAGTATCATGAGACTGAAGGTAAGAGCAGCATTCTTCCGCAATACCAATGGACCATATTGACTATACCATATTTACGCGTTTAAGTGCCCCTAACGAGCACAATATTGAGGGACCATGCAAAATTTATTGTACCACAGGGCCGGAGCAAATCAATTTTTCACTTTAAAAAAATGCAAGCCCTGCTTAAATTGGCATGATAAAAATCTCAAGCCCTGCTCCTCAGGTGTATTAATGCCTGGGTCCAATTACATCAATAAAATTAAATAAAATTAAATAAAAGAAAAATCATTTAAATATTCTTATTGCACTTGAGTGGATGTTTTATAAATTAATGTTGTTAGTACAGGTACATTAATTTTTTTTTAACAAAATCTCGACGTTTAATACATCGTGATTTTTTTTTTAACATATGGTTGCTATGTAATAGATACAATAAAATATATAAAAAATTAAACAATGTTAGAGTTCCATTCAGAAAGTTCCATATCACTGGTAGACGGTGGTGAAACTTTCCTCAATGTTCGACTTCCTCGCAAACAAAGAATTTGAGCTTGAAGCAGGGCAAACGCAATCTTTCTCCTTAGCCAGTTAGTGGTTACAGAGGGGTTGAAATTCTTCTTGGTGGCTAACTTCTCTGCCAAAGACGAAAGGAAATGATGTGTTTCTCTACCACATCCACCATAGGCGCTAAATACAACTGGTATGAAGGAGCCATGCTCGACCTGGACTATGTGCTGGTTGTAATGTTGCTTCTTTTCTCTTTCGTTCGCGTTGAAAGAACTGGAAAGGCTCTGGCGTTTATGTGTTGAGGCATAAGGATTAAAAACCCGGACATCAAAGAATGCCTTTTCACATCTTTGCCAGAAGCCCCTCGCAGCAAAGTC